ATAATGAAGATGCCTATGGGATAGCCATAAAATATCAGTTTTGTCTGGGGGAAAATAGCCAGGGTGCTCTGTAGTGCCTGCATAATGAGGCTTCGTCTCACATGCTTTGGGAATGTTATTAAGAGGGGCCAGTCCCTAGGCAAGAACAAAATACTGGGGAAAGTGGAGAGGCGGAGGAGGGGAAGACTCCATAGAGGCAGATTGCTATTGAAAACACACCCACACACCCACCTCCCAGTGGGTTTCCATAAGGCAGAGACTGAAGATGACGGCATAGGTTCATATAGGGTTTCATTCTGTTGTGTACAGAGTTGCTTTGAGGAGGTGCAGACATGATGGCACCCAACAACAGCAGCTGGTTTTGAAAGGCATTCAGGATCCTATATGTATTCTGGAGCCAGATTAAGACGTTTCCTTCGAGTCACGTTTGACTCATTGAGACCCCTTGTGTGCCAGAGTAGAATTTTGTTCCGTAGGATGTTGAGTAGCTGATTTTTCACTTGATCTCCAGGACTTTGTTTCAGGGTGCTTCTGAATGGACTTGAATTTGCCAGCCTGGCACATTATCCATTTACAGTACATTCAGGATGACTAATCTTGCAGTACTTGAGTTTGAATTTCAGCCTTTTCACTTTTTTAGCTGTGTGACATGGAACGTATATTCCCTGCTGTGTCCAGTTTTCTCTTTGTAAATGGAGGTAGTAGTAAAATAGAATTATTATAAAATAATTCAGGCCATAAAACACATGCTCCTGAAGTATTAGTGGCCAGGTGCAGCTGAAAGTACTGTCAGGCTAGCATGGGTGCTGTGTTCATGAATGCATATGATGATGAATGGATGCATGCATGATGATGGATACAATTCAGTTATTACCCACTGAATTTGGTGAAGACATACAAAATTCTCATGCCCACACACTGGGTGATTTTAGGTCACTTTTCTTTCCACTCTTTAGAAGCTCAAAGCAAGGGAAAAATATTTTCTAACCCATTTGGATTTCAAACTGTGAATCAATTAGTATTGAAAAGAGAAAAAACTTAGTCTTCAGTAGAACATGTACAAGAAAATGAAAGAAATTGGGCTTCTGAACACATTTTGTCTTCAATGCTTTTGATAAAACCTCTTTTAAAAAGCTGAGAAAGTATTTGTTATTCATGAGATCTATAGGATAAGTGATGTGATCACAATGGAAGAGTTAATATACAATAAGCAAAAAATTGTTTACATTTAAATCTAGAAACAGTGTTTTGAAAGTAATACACCAGTTTAACATATTTTCTTAGATTATTGAGGTAAACTCTATTATAGATTCTAGTAAATAATATGAAATAGTTTCTATTTTTATATTTTTCTTTTAGCAAGCTTATTGCCTTTTAGTTCCTCAGGAACTTTCCAACGCGATCTATTAAAAAGGATGCAGAAATCTGAAATAAATTATCTTTCTAGCCTTAAAATTCATATTCTTATAAAGGAATCTGTGATACTCCGTCAGTATCACAAAAATGTCTTTATTATCAGTGCTTCTCTAGCTAAACGTGAACTTTAAAAATTGAGAAACCAGGCACTTTGCAGACAGTTCACTCTTTGTTTCTTATTTTTGGGTTAAGGAGAAATAAAACTACCCAAGGAAGTATTTCTGGAAAAAGTCAGACTTCTCAATTGCCTTCATAGTTTAGCCTAAATTTTTTTTTTGTTTTAAGAAGTGACGGGGACTCTTTAAGTATAACGGAAGGAATACTTATTTCTAAAGTGTGGATCCCATTTCATTTTCCAGAGTGAATGATCACATCATAGGTAACAACCATCATTGGTCAGGGTGTCAGTGTGATGCCATCATTATTGTTTAGTTGTGTAATAAAACTCTGGGGTGGTAGTGTTGTCTTTAATTCACTCCCTTCTTTTCAGTACCCCTAGGGTGGATTTGAACTGCCTGAGAAGAGTGGCCTTTAGGTTGGCAGAACAACTCCCTAGAGACTGGCCTCCAGAGCATACTTACTCTCATTCTCTGTCTGTCGACACACACACACACAGATATCTGTATATACACATACATATGTATATGTAGTTGTTATGTGCTGTCGAGTCTGAACCAACTCTTAGTTGAGTTTTCAGAGGCTGTAAGAGCCTATCGGAGGAGATTGCCCATCTTTCTTCATTCGAACAGCAGGTGAATTAGAACTTACTGCCTTTGGGTTGGCAGTGCAACTCCTTATTCACTAGGTTGTCTGTGCATTATAGACATGCAGATTAGAGACTAAAATATTTAGTTAGTGACAACTATATCTTTGTTTGTGGTGGTGATTGTAGTTATATGTCACTGAGTCAGAACTGACTCAATGGCTGACCCTCCAGCAGATCTTCAGAGGCTGGAAATCAAAGGGAATTGTCCCTCTTTCTTCTGCAGAGCAGTTGGCCGGTCTGAACTTTGTGCCTTTGGGTTAACGGCATAGGTCACTAGAGCTTACTTGTGGAGGTTATAAAAGAACTCTCCCTGTATACAAAAGATTATATTTTGGATAAAAAGACAACATATATGCTATGAATGCAAAATAGAAAGAAATAATTATGGTAAATATATGTATTAAAAATATTAAAAGATACAGTTTTACATACTTGTCTAGGGAGAATAAATGTAACATTATTTTCAGCTAGCATGAAAAGTGATTCACTTCCCATATATCTTGGTCAGGGTTTATAAACTGATGAGCAAAAACTGTTTTAATGTTTGTGTTTTTCCATACCCTTGTTGTTGTTAGGACTAGTGAGTCAAGTATGACCCATAGCAACCCTATGAACAAAAGATCTGAACCCTGTTCTATAACTGTTGCTGTTCCTCTAGTGTTCATTGAGTTTTCAAAGACCTGATATTTAAGAACTGGATGCCAATCCTGCTTCCAACTTTGTCTTAATCTGGGAACTCCACCAAAACATGCCCACCTCCGGTAACCCTTATTTAACCCATTCAGTATCACCTGACAGACAAGTGCTGTACCACTTAGAACAGTGTTCTCTCCCAATTTTATGTATAGTGTCCATGTTCAAGTGGTAGACACAGTGACTTAAATTTGCTAGATATTACTTGATTGGCTGATAATCATTGATTGATTTTGTGTGTGCAACACATTGTAATGGAGGAAGCATCTGTTGGTTTCTTATCTATAAATTCTATGGTTTCTAATAGAAATCACACATTTAAATGCCACCAAAGGGTTCTGATGGTAAGAAGGCGTGCTACAATCCTAAAGGCATGCAGTTTAAATCCACCAGCTGCTCTGAGGGAGAAGGATGGACAGTTTCCTCTCGTGCAATTTACTGCCTCTAAAAACCCATTGGAGGGTCAGCTACAAGTTGGTTCCAACTTGACAGCATAAAACAAAGGAATTTAGTTAAGTAATGAAACTTGACTATGGTGTGTTTGTAAGCTATCAGCAATTTGGTATATAGTAAAAATTTTTTAAAAATTATTATTTGCAAGTGATATATAACATTTAAAAGATAAAATACAAACTGAGGCAAAAGGGATTAGAAAAAAGTAAAAATGGTTCGTGTTAATATAATAATGTACTCATGCTAAAATAGGTTTAAATTCCATTTTGCCTAATAAAGCTTATCTAATATGAACACGAGGTGGGGCGGAGGAAAGAGAGACAAATTACGCTAGTGTGCAGATTCATAAACTAGAGCATACAAGTAATTATGAAAGTAAGAAGCTTGAACAGCTATGTTAAAGAACAATAATTACTTTGGGCATTAATAGCCAAGTTCTGTGATCAGTAGCGCTGTCTCATTGTTAACAGATTGGAAGTGATCCACAGCTGACCCTCAGTTGAGTTTCTTAGGCTCCAAATCACATGAGAGGAGGCAGCCCATCCTTCTCCCTGGGAGCTGCTGGTGGATTCAAATGCAGCTCCCTGTGGATTAAGCCACCAGAGCTCTCTAGCGTTTCTGCAGTTTACAGTATTTGGGACTGTCTAGTTTGATTCGACACACATTTTATTCTTAATTTTAAATGTAAACATTTTTCAGTGAGCAAACAAATGTGGCTATCTTTTCCTTAGTTAGAAAAAGAAACATTTTTTTCACAGTGCATTGTATTCAAACAACTGTGAAATCTATAAAACTCAGGGCAATGAGTAACTCAAAGACTCTTAACCAGTTCATTTTAGAAATTGTCAGATAGTGATTTCTTTATGACCAGGTTCTAAGCACTAGAATTGGGGGCAGCGTAAAAGAAATTAAATTTTCTCCTAAGTTACACTGGCATTCTTCTGGCTGCATGTCAATGTTCGAGCAGTTTTTGCTTCCCTGATGCTGGGCTCTTATGCATTATTTGAAAAAGTTTCCATTTATACCAATAGCTTAAACTTTTTTCTGGCTCTAGTTTATCTTTAGTTTACTTAAAAAGTTGCTGCTAATTCTATACCATATATCCAGAACATCCCAGCTTAATGCTAAAAATCAGAGAGGTACCACACTTCAGCTTAAATCTTTGTTACAGCAAAATTAATTTTTATACGGTTATCAAAATTTAGTGCTACATTTCGTGACAAGGTCTTGATAAGGTTGCATATCAGAACACACCAGACCAATAAAAAATCTGAAATCTCCATACCTCTTATTGTTGTTGTTATGTGCTGTCAAGCCACCTGTGTGACTCACAGTGACCCTATGTACAGCAGTTCTGAACCCTGTTCTATCCTGAGCCAATCGTATTGTCTCTGACACACTTACCCTCATTATCCCAGTCACTGAGTCAGTCAATACCCTAAATACCTAAATTCCACTAACATGGTACTGTGTTGTGTACCATTGAGTCAGAACCAACTCAGAGCTGCCCCTCCAGCAAGTGTTCATACGGGAGGAGATTGCCTGTCTTTCTGCCTTGAGCAGTCTGCCTGCCTGTGGGCTGGTAGCACAACTCCTTATTCAGTAGAGTACCAGAGATAGTATTGGTGATATTAAAGATTTATTGACAAAATATTCTTTCCTTCTCTTGTAGACTTATCTAAAAACAGGCTGGTTGAAGTTCCAATGGAACTGTGTCATTTTGTGTCACTGGAAACGCTCAATCTGTACCACAATTGTATCAGGGTTGTTCCTGAGGCTGTCGTGAATCTGCAGATGCTGACGTACCTAAACCTAAGGTAAGATGATGAGGCCTGTGGTCATCTAACCCAGTTTAAAAATAATTATGCTTTCATTTCTGTCAAGTTCCCCCCCACCTGCATTTAATTCCTGATATCACCCTTTGAAGTAAATCTCACAAAGATCATTTAAGAATTATCTTTTGTCGCTCATCTCTTGTGTTATTTATATTCATTTTTTGTGTGCTTGATTTTTCCTGAATTCCCATGAGATAAGGTGCTGTTCTGTTAATGATCTGTGGTACATCGTTTTTACTCCTTTTCTGTTTCAGTCTTGCAGAGTTGTTGGTATATTGTCGTCAGATACTAATGTGAATTTTGCAGGAGGAAGGTTGTAGTGGGGAGAAACAGTTTGAGCTTGAGGCAAGTGTCAAAAAGTCAAACCCTGCTGCCAGGTTGACTCTGACTCATGGAGAGCCTCCGTTGAGTTTCCAGGTCTGCAAACCTTAGTGGAGTAAACTGCCACTTTCTCCTGAGGAACAGCTGGCAGATTCGAACTGCTAGAAATGTGTGACCTTAGCTTAATGGCACAAGGCACTGTGGGTTATACCAGGCCACGAGAGATAAGTCAGAAGCAAGAATAAGACAACTTTGCTGGTCTTTGAGAGTTACTACTACCATTAAACTTTGCTCCTTAATGCTGACTAGAAACCGCTCACTTTAAGCCACCTCAGAAAGTTAAGAGCAACTCCAAACCCTTACCAACTTTGGTGAGTCTGTTCCGTCTCCTGGCAGCCAATGGGTTTCTGAGGCTATGTAGCTTCTCAGGAGATTACCCACTTTATATTCCTCAGAGTAGCTGGTGAGTTGAGCTGCTTACTTTTCAGTTAGCAGCCCATTCTGTAACCCACTGCATTACCAGAACTCCTCTGGGCAATTGCAGCATATATGAAGTTTGTCATATTTAGAGTTCTTTGGCTGAGGTCAACATTTCCTGAGTTCACCAGTGGCTCTGAGTAACACTGCAGCTCAGCACGTCAGTTGTTTGAAGCCTTGGGTTTAGATTTTATTAGTTTGTGTCTGTCATCTTGCTGACCAGACTGTAGCTCTTTGTTTCTTAAATCCTTGACTCCCAGCTGGTATGTCAGGAGAGTGTGAGAGGACCAGGTTTACCAAATCCTGTGAAAATGAATCTGCAGAGTTCAACTAGCATTCAAGCCATCACTCAAACCAGCTGCATCGCGTTGGTGTACAAGATGAGAGTAAGGTGCAGTACTTAGAGTTGTAGTCAAATCAAAGGCGTCTGACAGCACCATACTTAACATGAAATATTGTTATTGTTGTATACCACTGAGTTGGAACCAACTCAATCAACTGAAAACCCTCCTGTGAGTTTTCAGAGGCAGTTGATTGCACAGGAGGAGATTGCCCATCCTTCTCCTGCAGAGCAGCTGGTGGATTCAAGCAAAAATGAAATATGGTATTCATTTAATAAATCACATGTAGACATTCATAACTTTGTACAGTCCAGTATCAGCAGCTTTGAATTTATAGAAGCATTCTACATAGATTACCTCTTAAGAGATAATATTTTACATTCAGTAGAGGGAGCTCTGATGGCCTACTGCCAAGAAACTTTGCCACAGTCTCAAAGGCACAGGGTTCGAGGTCACCAGCTGCTTCATGGGAGAAGGATGGGCAGTCTCCTTCTGTGCAATTAGCTGCCTCTGAAAACCCGCCAGAGGGTCAGCTGTGGGTCGGTTCCAACACTGTGGTACTCAACAACAGGAACAACATTCAGCAGAGTAAACAACCAGTAGATATTCAGTGATGATGGTAAGTTTACTCCCTACCTGGTTCTTGGCTAATAGAGTCTAGCAGTGATCTTACCTTTAAATGTCAAATGGGTTCTTGCAACTCTAGCCCTCATCCTTTCTTGGAGTAGTTGTTGTTAAGGTGCCATCAGGTATGTGCTGGCTCACAGTGAGCTCATGTATAGCAGATATAGGACATTCTGCCCAGGGCTAAACCATTTTGATAATTGTTGACATCCCATATTCCAGTTACTGTGTCATTCCATGTCACAGAAGGTTTCCTTTCCTGTCACTCACCTTTACTTTATCAACCATGATGCTTGATCTTTCCTGATGATGTGGTCACAGTCTCACTGTCCTCATTTATAAGGAACATGAATTATATTTCTTTTAAAACAGATTTGTTTCTCCTTCTGACAATCCACAACATATTCACTATTTTTCATCAGCATCACAGTTAAGATGTATGTGTTCTTCATCTGTCTTGCTTTTTCGCTGTCCAGCTTTTGAATAAATGATATAACTGAAGTGAATATGGCTTGAATCTGGTGCACCTTAGTCTTGAAGGTGGCTTTCCACTTTTTAAAACTTGAAGGAAGCCTTTTACTGCAGATTTATTAGTCATTTGATTTCTTGACTTTCTTGGTATTAGTGATTGACCATGTAGTTAAAAACATTTAAATGTGTTCCACATTTTCTCACAAGTTAGAAATGCTATATCTGTGGAAAATATGTATTTATTTCTGTTTCTGGAATTTGTACTTGAAGGATCCAAGCTTTTTGTTTCTGCTTCTTGACAATGTAATCTCTCCACAGAGCTTATAGTAGTTTAGTAAATGTCCACTGAGTCTCTTCCTCTTACACTTATCATAATCCAGTAAGTAATGTCCAAGAACAATAAAAGTGATTAAGCAAGACTTGCCTTCCTACAGGAACAAACAAGTTTTAAAATCCATTTTAAGTTGTTGATGAAGCTTGTGAAGAAAATATGTTAGAAAAGTAGAGTAACAAAAGTTGGCGTTAGAGGGCTTGCAAATCTAAGAGTAGAGAGAGGGACCTTAACTTAGAAGCCTCAACTTAGAGGGTTTTTGGAAGAGAGGTTGCCACAAAAGGAAAGTTCTTTTGGTTGAATTGCCTCTGGAACTCTTGGTGAGTCATTGCACTTCCCTGCGGTGAGACACACCAGGTCAGGACCTGGTTTGCTCATTAGAAACTGTTATCTTTCACCAGTTGTTAGGAGTGGATTCTGAAGCTTGCCTGTAAAGAAGAGGGAAGTTTCTTGAGCAAAATGTTATACCATAAAAGGAATCTGTTTTGGTTGCCTTCTCTGAAATTTGGCATCTGTTCTGGTTGCTAAACAGTCTAGAGAAAGAGCCAAGTCCCTGCCGGAGGTATAACCTGTATCCCCACATTCCTTTGGGGGTCATTCTGGTGTATAATCTCTAATCTTCAGAGTATACCTCTCTGTTCCAGGGATTGGGGAGAAGCATACTGCACCCTTGGTTTACTTTAGAAATCTCAGATTTTGTTTTTGTTGTTGTGAGCTAATTTAATTTTCATTCTTCTTGAGAATTTTATCTGGATAAAATGCACCCTGGCCTGGCATGAGCATTTCTGAAGAATGTCTCAATTGTAAGTTCATGTTTCTTCTCTCTAGAAATGGAATATGATAGAGCCTTAGTGCCTTCCTAAACTGGAAAATGGGAAGCATTTTGCTCAATTCTATACAAACTTCTATTTCACATCTTTTTTATAAAGATCTTATCTCCCTCAGAGAGAATAAGAGTGAGAGTGAATGAGAGAGAGAGAGAGAAAGAGAGAGAGAGAGTCTGCACACGCATGCACATACATAGAATCTCTGAGACATCAGGAATTGGCAGTAATCTGCCATTGATTCAGAACTGATCATTAGCTGATATTCCATTGGATCATACAGTTGGAGATACTCGTATTTCTACCAAGGAGCTGATGGTGGGTTTGAACCACCAGGGAAACAACATCTTTCCAGTTAGCAGAACCCTATAGACTAGGCCACGAGAGGTTCTTTACTCTGAGTGGTCTGTACTGTTAAAGATTTCACTGCTACCTGAAAAGGTGGGGATTCACATCCACTCGAGGTGTCTGTGAAGGACTTAGAAACACTGTTAAGTGTAGTTCTACTCTGACACTCATGAAAGTGCCATGAATAGAGGCCAACTTCATGGTATCTGGGTGCAAGAGAGAGAGACAGAGCGCACACGTGAGCTCTATCCAGAAAGATATACTCACATCCTGGTAGAACCCAATTCATGATGTATTCAAGTTAGGATAACCCTTACTTATAGTCCTGTTCTTGGGGCACATTAATAGGTAAAAAGTACACCGTTACAGAATTTGATTTACTGAGTTTCTCAGAAGTTCAGTGTTATAATTTATTGTTTAAAACACTGCCATACAGCAGGCTATACAAATGGCGGGAGGGGAGTTATACTACCTAGTTAATACTGACCTAAACCCAAATGATTGGGAGGGACCGCATCCTCAGTTGAGAGTCCGGCTTATATTATTGAACGGATATTTTATAGCTAGGTTGCACTTTGTGAAATGACAGACCTAATACAAAAATAATGAGCTGTGCTGGCCTCGTGGAAAAGAGCTGTGCTGCCAGCCCAAAGGCACACAGTTCAAATCCACCAGCTGCGCTATGGGAGGAAGATGGGCAGTCCTCTTCCATTCAGTTCACTGCCTCTGAAAACCTCCTGGTGGGTCAGCTATGAGTCATTACCAACATGATGGTACATGATGACAACAACAATACAAAAATACATGAGTCTTGTTGACATTTAAAAGAGTTATCTTTGAGTTTCAATGTGGCAGACACTAGGGAATACTGAACATGAGTTGATAACTGAATTATGGTTTGGTGAAGAGTGTGACTGTCCCGTGGACAGCTAACAGGGCAAATACATCTGTCTTGGAAGAGGTGCATCAGAATGCTCTTTAGAAGCAACGGTGATGGAACTCTATCTCTCATACATCGAGCGTGATATAGGAGGGGCCAGTCCTTGGAAAAACACGTTATGCTTAAAAGAGTGTCCACAAAAGAAAGATCCTTCATGAGATGGACTGACCTAGTGACTGCAGCATTTTAAGCCTAACAGGGACTGTGAGGCTGGAACAGGGTCAGGCAGGGTTTCGTTCTGTTGCACAGAGTTTTAGGATTCTACTCAGTGACACCTAAACAACATTTGACAGTCTTAAAATTTA